CAGGCTGGTCCTGTCCTCGCTGAGCCTGTGGCACGGCAGCAAGCACAGCCAGACCCCCGAGCCCGGCCGAGGAGCTGGCCTCTGCCCTGCGTCACGGGGTGCCTCTCTGGTGTCTGCAGAGGAGGACAGCCCAGAGGAAGATGGTGCCCAAGGTCTGCTTTTCCAAATGACTGCTAATTTCATGTTTTCAGTCTGTCAAGGAGTGGGTTCCCTGCAGTGACAGCTCACAGCATCCAGACATCTCCCAGCTGCCTGTGTGCTGCTTCCTTGGTGCTAGTTGCTGCCCTGGGGGACTGGGAGGTGCATGTTCAGAGGAGGACGGGCTCAGCGAGGACAGGACCAGCCTGGCACACACCCTGTGACAGCGATCACGCAGCCAGAAGCGTGGCTCCAGTCCCACCGTCTGGGGAAGGGCCCGGCAGGAGCAGGCAGGTGTCGGGAGGTTATTCCCTCTGTTCAGCAACGCAGCATCCACGGCTCCCGAGCGAGCCACCATCCACATACATCCCTCTGTGTACAGAGCTCCTCGCTCGCTGCAGGTGCAGCTGAAAGCCTGGGGACACGGGCAGTTTCTGCAGAGGGTTGTGGAAGCCAGTGGTTCCGTCTGCGCTCTCCCTGCAGGCAGAGCGGCCTTGAAGGGGACAAGCCTCCTCCTGTGCCCGAGTCTGTCCCTGCCTTGGGTTGAATTTGAGCTGGGAGCACTGGGGATACAAGCAGCTGCCCCTGCGCTTTACCTGCTCTGGCAAAAGCATGGCTCTGGGTGTTCTAAACTTGCAGGTGACGTGAGGATGCTCCCTGCCCTGCTGCCTGGGGCTGCAGGCTGTCCCCTGAGACCACCCCTCCTGCTCCCTGTCCTTCTCCCACCCTCGCATTCTCTCTCTGGCTCCTAGGAAGCCTTCAAATAAATTCTGGCATTTTAAAAGGCCATTTTCTCTTCCAGCCTACATGTCAGCACTAATCTGGGGACAAACAGCCACATTTATAAGAAGAAAATAAAGTCTCAGCTCCCACTCAGTGGCATAATGCAAGGGGCCGTTCCCGGCGTGCTGGGGATGCTGCAGGATTCTTCACTGGACAAAGAGGCAATTGATGAACTAGGTCATGGCAGGAGGAGATGGTACGTGGGAAAAACACTGAACAGAGAGGCCTCTGAAAAGGAAACCATTCCCTGTGGAAGAGGCAGCCCCAGGCAGCCTGCCTGGCCCGAGGGGACCTGTCACACCTGTGCCTGGGTCACCCTGCAGGCAGGAGGGGCTCCAAGGTAGCTGGGATCAGGACACCTGCGGATGTGCTGCTCTGCCAAGGAAAGGCTCCTCTTCCTTTTTCTGTAGTTACTGAAGGGTGCTAAAGTAGAGGGAGAGCCTTTCAGAGCCTGCTGCATAAACATGTCTTTGGTGGCTACGCAGCGGTTGAGCATGCTGAGCGTGACCTTGGGCAACAAAAGCCTTTTGGTGCACCCTGCCACCAGCTTGTGCTGGTGCCTTCCCTGCCCCAAGCCCTGCCAAAGCTGGGCTGTTTCGCATAGCAGAGAGAAAGATAGATCCTTGCAGAGTCTGGATGAATTGTCCTTGTGGGAAGGTAATGCCTTCAGTGACACAGACAGAGCGGGGTAGCTTTAGCAGCTCTGGGTGTGATTGATGTGGGTCCTGTCCCCTGCTTCTGCACAAGCTTCTTCTTCCCTTGTGCCAGTGCACAGCACCTGGGTGCAGGCTGGATGGGAGGAGGCCCGGCACAGCTATAGACTGTAGATGAGGCCGGCTGTCAGGAGCAGTGACCATCCTAAGGCAAAAACCTCCAGGCAGATCCCTGCAGCTGCATCCCTTCATGGGATGTTCCTTGGTTGCCTGTCCCTTGGTCAGAGCAGGGGTGAAGCTGTGGCCCTGTAACCTCCCTCTTTCACGTGCCCTGCCTGACCTGAGTGCTCTCCCCTGATCGTGGCCATGGGCTCCCCTGTTCATGAGCAGTTCTGGGGCTTTGGTCCTGCAGGTGTTTGCCATGCCATCAGGTAGGAGCCCACGTGTCATGTTGATTTTGCTGGGGCTGGATTCCTGCAGCCTGTGTGGAACTGTCCTGTGGTGGCAACTTTGGGGTCTGGCTGCTTTCAGAAGTTTATGCTGCTGTTCCCCTGTGTTGCAGCTCCCTGAATCTCAGCCCGGAGCTTCCCTGCTGTTTGCATCGCTGCCCTGCTCGGTACTGTCTGCCTGCCTTCCCCATGTCCCAGCCTTCAGCGCTTCCTGAATTCCTGCCCTGCATAGCCCTGCCGCCACATCTTTCTGTCCCCATTTGGCAGCTCTCTCTTTGGGACTTAGTTGAACTGTGGGTGATGAGGTGGCTGGTGCAGATATTTTATGCGCATCTCACTGCAGATTTTGCCTTGCCCTGTAGAAGCAAAGTAGCCATGAAATAATCCACAGGAGCTGATACAGCTCCTTATTTGGTGCAAGACCTAGGACAAAAACTTAGGGAGCGCAGAGCTTACTGTGGCTTCAGCTGGAAGCATTGAAGAATTACCCTTTGCTGACCGTTGTCTCATCTGGCAAAGCAACTTGCCGGGTCTGAAGGAATCTAAGCACATGCTGTGAGTGGAAGGTGCTCAGATAGCTTTGTAGCGTACTGACAGCTGTTTACAATTACCCAGAAGCAGATGCCTCATTCGCCTCGCTCAGGGTGTCAGAAGCCCATTTTCCACTGGATTTGCTTCCCCCCATTTTTAGAAGTAACTAGAAGCAAGTGATGTGGGAGAAGGGGACAGGTGGGCTATGGCTTTGGAGGAGAGTGAGCCTGGTTCTATAAAGGGAAGAAAAGGGAACAGAGGGAGGGGACTGGAGAGGGAAGTGTGAGAATCAAAGCACTGGAAAAGGAAAACACGTTAGCAGAGGCACTTGTGGCTTGGAGTCAAATTTGGGATACACAGACAGGAGGAGGGCTGCTGGGGCATTTCCTTGTGCTGTGATTCTTTAGGATTTATAATGGACTGTAGGCACCTGCCAAGTGAGGATGCTTTCAAGACTGAGGGTTTCCTGCTAGCACACTCAAGGCATGACCCTCTGCTATAGTAGCTAAACCCTTGTCTAGGGCTCTGGGGTGATAGCTGTGGCATTAGTATGTGGCGTGTGACCTGTGCTAAAAGCCCAATTTAGACATAGGGGCTTTTAACCCAACATAAGCTGTGTGAGCAAGACCAAGTCCCCATGTCTTTTCCTGGACTGCACTATCATGTGTTAAAGGTGATGCATCATATCTGTCGTAAACCTTTAGAAGGTATAAGTGAATATATGCTAATTTGACATCTTTAAGTCCTAGTCCAAAGAAGTCTGGATGCAACCTGCATAAGTCAGGCCTAAGCCCAGGGTGACTTATCCAGGAAACTGAGTGCTGCCCAGCGCAATACATGCTGCAGGGTGTGTCATCCCAGTGCCTTGTCTCCTCTCCCTCTGTTCCTGAGGCTTTGTCCAGTCCTGGTCTCTAGTGCGGGTATCTGATGTCCAAATGCTGCTGTTGGCTCACTGTGAAATACACTGTGTTTTAGCTGCTGCCCCATGATGTGTGAGGCAGGGCTGATTGCTCCAGAGCCCTCTGGCCCCATGCAGTACTATGGTGAGTCGTCCGACACCTACTACCACGTGGACCACTGGCAGAGGCTGCGCACGGCTGTCAGGAAGCTGGAGTTCTGGGAAAACTTCAACGCCGAGCTGATAGGCAGCGGCTTCTTCTCCAAGGTCTACAAGGTAAACTGACATGCAGGCAGCCCGTGACCCCTGTGTGAGAGCAGATGAGCAGCTGCTGAGGCTGTGTAGATGGTGCCTCACCTGAGCAACCTGTCCTCAAGCTTATTTCCTCGTCTTCATCCCTCCCAGCTCACTCTGGCAGGTTGGATGGGGGGAGGGAGGAAAGGACACCCCCGCCTCTGCGGACCCAGCACATTACCTTTGATGCAACATCTCCCCTTCTATCGTGAAAAAGGAGATAGGAGGACTTGACCAATGAGTGTTCATTGGCACTGTCACCTAGCCATACAGCAGGCTTGTCAGGGAGCTGAACTGGGTATTGGATGAGATCAGGGGATATTTATGCTGTGCAGGTTTTGTTTTCAAAACTGTAGCAAAATATATAGAGAAAAATAATGTAAAATTAAGCTGCTTATGTCCCCCAGAATACCTGTCACCCATACCCCATGGAGATGCCAACGCTGTCACCCCTCTCCAGCTGCTGCCCCGCATCATGGTGATGCTGGGGAAGAGCAGGGGACCTGGGGCAGAGTCAGGCTGGGACAGGCTGCTGGTCCATCCACTTCTGCCTCTGCTGCCTTCATGTCAGGAGAGCCAGGGCTCCCTGCAAGCCAGTGCATGATGCAGATGGCATGTCACAAAAGCAAAACTGCTTTTCTCACTGGGGCTGTTGTGAGTCACTTGCTGCACCAAGCTCCACGGTGTGGGAGTTTGTTTAACCCTCTCGGAGCAAGCACAGGATCGAAGTGCTGCTAGCTTTGCTCTCCCTCCAGTGCTGCACCTCAGCCTGGGAGTGCCACTGCTTATTTGTGGGGAGTGGTCTTCAGCCCTCAGTGATCACTGCTCTGTGAGCAGCAAAGTGAAAGAAGGTGCTTCACATTAGGAAGTGAGACTGTGCCTTCATCTCTGAGAGCGGATGCTACGTTGATTTGCAGCGTGTCTGGGTTTGCCCACCTTATCTCTCCTCCCAGCAGCCCTCCAGAACGTGGTTGCTGACACTGGTCTTTGTAGTTGGGACGTGACACAGACCCAGCGGAAACAAATTGTGCCCGACTCTTTGCATTGCTGTTGGCTCCTTAGCTTGACCAGCCCTGCAATAAACATCATGACTGCACATTTCTCCTGGGGCAGCATAAGGTGCTTCTGCCAGAGGAGTACTCTGACATCTTCTGGGTGAGATCCCTGGCTGGTGTAAGCATATGTGGCCAGCTGGAACTAATGGAGCCAGGCTGGCAGGATCTGGCTGTGGAACTGCAAGAAATACACAAGTCGCATAGATAATCGCACATTGCTTTCTCAAGGCTCTGTCTCCGCCTCTGCTGCATCTGGGCTTGGTGCTGTGATAAAGCCTTTGGGTGAAGTTCAGGTCCAGGGACAGTGCACTGAAGCTGTTCAGGGAGAATCTCCAGCCAAAGGTCTATGGCAGCTCTTTGCAGACTGAAGCAATACATGACAAATACTTCTCCCCACCACAGCCTCCCTCTAGTAATTGCTTTCCCCACCTACACAGTGTGCTGTTGCCATTGCTTTCTCTTTCCTTTATCTAGCAGATTTTCATAGTAACAGTTGCTGTTTCCTTCGTGCGTGACATTTTCCTCCTGCCCTGGCAGTGAATGAGATTCCAGCAGCAGGCAGGATGGAGACATGGATCTTGAATGAGAATGAAATAACTTATTGAAGTAGAAGCAGAAAAAGAAATGTAAAAAAAATAAAGTTTGAATGAAATGCTATGGGGCAAATAGTCAAAAGGCAGCAGAGGAGGACTGGGGACAATGACAGCCTTTTGTGGAGAGTTGACATTTGTCTGGGGACTGGAGTGCAACCATAACGAAGTGCTCTGATGGCTTGTGTTCCTCTTGAGTCAGACAGTCCCCTGTGGACTTGTAGCCCATAACAGAAGCACTCCTGCTGCGAAGCATCGCTGGCAATGGTCCTTTGAAGCTCTTTGCCAACAGATGCTGCCTTCCAAAGTGGTCCTGCAGCAAGGACATAGACTCTCCAAAGTGCTGGCACTGCCTGTGCTGGCTGCCTACAGCTTTTGCCTTTCTTTGTCCCTCAGTTAAGCCCATTCTCGGGAGCTATTATATGTGGATCGGCTGAGGAAGGAGGATTCACTTGGTTCGACTTGGTGACTCAGACTCCAGAGGTCTGGGCATGGCTTCTGCTCTGTCGGTTATGTGTTGCATGACCTGGGCACAAGATACTTTCTCTCTTTTTCTGCCTTAGTTTTCTGATGTGCACTGAGCAGCTATTCAAGTATGAGTTTCTCTCAGGGAAAGCATAAAGGTTCTTTCATTGTCAGCTCTCTTATTCATAGGGGTCTGAGGTGCTCAAAAGCAGGACAGAAAGGCAACGTGACTTCTTTTTTCTGAGGCTGGTTTAAGGCATTGCCCAAATGGAGCCTCTGAGCAACCTCTTCTTCTGTTGTCCCTCAAAAAGCTTCATCCATGTTAGGAAGCACAGTCCCGCTCCCTGTCTTTCTGCAACTTCCCAGTGCCAGAGTTTCACCTTTATTTCTCCACACAGGGCTGACACCAGATCTTTACCCTTCATCACTCGTTAGCATGAAAGGAGAATACCTTGGAGGCCCCTCTGCACTTTCCTTGTTTTCGCATTGATCCAGGACAAAAACAGGCACTTGGCATGATTCAGAGCTGTCCAAGGGCTGCTCCAGATTGGCCAAAGTCTTAGGGCCTGTGGTCTTGGAAGAGGCCTTCTGAGCCCATTACCTTTGCCCATCTCTCCCACTACTTTTTTTGGAGAGTGGGTCTACCCTTGCTTTTCAGTCATTTCTTCTCCAGACCAGGCTGGACTTTGCATTGCCCTGTGCACCCAAACCCCACCGGCGCTCCCCGGCTCCACCAGCCCGGGCAGTGTGTGGGAACTCTGCTGGCATCCAGCTGGGACATGCAACCTCCCCTGGCAGCTCAGCGTGGCTCAGGTCTCCACCAGAGTTTGTGCAGAGCTAATAGGTCTCTCTGAAACTCAGTTAGCTCTTCTGAAAGTTTTTCAGATCTTCCAGATTTCATCTGCTCCCTGTGCTGTGTCCTGGGCACAAGGGCACTCATAGTCTTTGGGGAAAAAACAATTGATAGCATCTCTTATATTTACACCTGTGCAATTGCAGTTAATCAGTTCCATCTGATTGCTGAGCCACAGTCTGTGGTTATGAATTCCCATCAGGTGAGGGTGTGAGAGCCCTGGCTTTGTTATGACCTGCTTGAGTAGAGAGGCAGAGTTACTCCAGTGACAGCGTTGACTATCAGATTGCGTTCCTTCAGAGAGGAAGCAGCAGTTCATGTTACTCCCAAGACAGTTTGTTTTGTGACCCTGGTTATAATGAACCTTTCTCTCCTTCCAGCCCAGCTAGGTTTTACATGCAGCTCTTTGTTCTCCTCACCTGAGCTAGTAATGTTATCCGTAAAGTGACCGTCACAGAGAATAATGGGTGACAGTTTGGGACTCACAGTGCTGCTCTTAAGCCAGCTCATGCAGTGTCTAAACTGTTTTTTCCCCTAAAACAAACAAACAAAACACCACAAACACAATGGCTGGATTCTCTCCTAGCCCTGGCGGAGCTGTCAGGACATCAGCGTGGGCCGCACCTGATACATGAGTCTCCTTAAAACAGATGTTAATTGAGGGTGGAAATGTTAAAGCATCACAATGCTCTGTGGTGTGGTCTGGAAACTGATATTTGCATTGTCAACCCAGATAACGTGAGCTGCAGTGCAGGGGCCCTGGGTGGTCCTTTTGGAGCAGAGAGCTAGGGCATCCCTGCATGTCCTGCAGCCTGCATGAACCCCTCCATTCCGTACTGCCCAAGCCTGGTGTCTCCACAGGGGGCAGTGATTTCCTCCTAAAAATGCCTGCTCAGTCGGTTCAGTGTTGTAAGGCTGGGGAAGAGCATTTTGTATTCTGTGCTTTAGCTACCAGTATACCTGCCCGGGGGAAGCCCTGGGAGTGAAATGTCTGGTGGTGATCCATAGCAGAGCTGAAGGTTAGCATGTGGCTGGGAAGCAGACACGGGACCTCCGTTCTGGGATGTCAGGGAGAGATGAGCTGGCTTTGTGCTTTTTTGTTGTGTCTGCCTGGGTGGAGGGGGGCTAGCCATGGGCAGGGGTGCAAGAGGAATTGGGGATGAGGAGTGTGGCCAGCAGCTTTGTGCTGTGATCAGAACCAGGCAGGAAAGAGGGATGGAGATGTGGGATAGGCTGTGGTTGGGAAGGGGCATTGAATACAAGGCACTTAAGGGGTGAAGGTCAGTCCTGCAGTAAGCCAGGGTGGGCTGAGAAACTGCTCCAGCCCAAGGAACATGCAAAATTTGGCAGAGAAGTAGTGTTGTGATATGTTGGGCCAGGAGGGATCTAGATGTCCCCAGCCACCCAAGGAGGCATCACTGGAGTGGAGCTTATGTGGAAGGGACAGCACCTTGTGCATGTGCAAATGACTGTACAAAGCTCTGGGCAGCCAGGAAATGTGATTCAGGCCTTGGGTTGGGAAGAGATGCTGTTGTCCAAAGGGGCTGGCAGATCTCTGGAAGCTAACAGATGTTCTGCTCCAACCTTGTCTCCAGGTGACCCAGGCTGCTGCTGGTAAAGTGATGGTGGTGAAGATCTACAAGAAAGACGTGGACCAAGAGGTGATTGTGCGTGAGATCAGCCTGCTGCAGAAGCTGTCCCACCCCAACATTGTCAGGTGTGCACATCCTTCAGCCATGAGCAGTGGACACTGGCAGGGGTGGAGTTGGGTTGGTGTCTCTAAGGCAGTTCTGCAATGAGGGATTGCGCTGAACCTTGATGGCTTTTTTTCTTTTTCATTTTCTTTTTTTTTAATTTTTTTTGGTGTGTTCTTCTGCTTAGGTACCTTGGGATATGTGTGAAGGATGACAAGCTGTACCCCATTCTGGAGGTAAAGGTTTCTTGCTTGTAAGTGTGGTGTGAGCAGGCAAGGGCCCTGTGGTTCTTTGGCAGGGAGGATGGCAGATACCCCATAATGCATATCTATGCCTCTGACTCCCACGCCTGTGAATGGTTCTGGACTAGCGAGACTGCCCCAGAGGGCCTTCTGGTCCTTTCTGCCCTGCAGCTGGTCACAGCTGGAGTGGGGCACAGTCACTGCAGGGCCATGAGATTCATGCAGGAGAGCCAAAAAATGTTTCAGGTTGGGTTGGTATCACAAAAGGGCCCGAATGGACCAGCTGATGGGGAGAAGAGGAGCCAGGGATGGAGGGCAGGAGTAGGAAGTGAAGCAGATGGAGAGTTGCAGGACCTCCAGGGTGGCTCTGGAATGGTGGTGTGGTCTAATGGAAAAGCTTGGGCTGGTACTGGGGAGGTCTTATCCTGTTCCTACACTTTCAGTGGCAGAAGGTGTTGACTGAGCTGTTGCCAGGCTTTTTGCCTCTAGTTCACTGCCTGTGAGTGAGGACCACAGCTGGCTTATACAGCTGTCCCTGCAGTGGGGCAGAGCCCAGAGACGGACAGTAACTTGTGCCAGGAGGGGTATTTGCACCATGCCACACGCAGGCACCCCGGCATTCCCAACGCCATCCTGACAAAGGGGCTCCTGGGTTGGCAATGGAGGGTTCAGCACCTGGGAAGCTGCAGGGGAGCCTGTGGCCAGCCGCACAGCCACCGGCTTTTTGTCTTTGTTCGTAGTACGTGAATGGGGGTTGCCTGGAGGAGCTCCTGGCCAGCAAGGACATTGCTTTGACGTGGAAGGAAAAAGTGGACTTAGCTTCTAACATCACCAGAGGCATGATCTACCTGCACTCCAAGAACATCTACCACCGAGATCTCAATTCCAAGGTACACAGCTGGAAAGGGGATGTCACCCCTGGACTGCTGAAGGCGACTGTGTTAGGGGACTGTATGGGGGCCCCTGGGGCTGTAACCAGGGGACTCAGGCCTCATACTGGTCCTCTGCTCCATGCTAATCCCTCTGCAGGCAGGGAAGCTTTCTTGATAAAACCTGTCATTACATTGCATTCATTGCTTGCCAAGTAGGAGACCCAGACATAGATAAAAATATGTTGGTCCTATTGCTGTTGCTGTTGGAAAAGAAACCAGATGGAAATATGTGCAGGATTGCACATGGTTTTCTTTGCCTGTGGTTGCAGGAGAAGCTCTGCCAGATTTAGAGGTTTCCTTTCCTGCTCACTACAAGGAGGAAGCTGTTGCTGACAGGAGCTGGGCACAGGCTCTGGGATCAAGTGCCGTGTGAGATGATCCCTGCCTATGTCCAGAGCACCAACAGAGCTCACAAGATGTGTGTCTCCTCCCTCAAGTGCAGAGAAGTTGTTCTTCCTTGATCCAGAGGGCCCAGGTCACCAGTTTTAGGATGGTCACCTCCGTGTGTTTCACACCCTGGCAGCATGCCAGCTGTGAAGACTGACATCTGGAGACAGGCTTTGGGTGGAATGCAAGGGCACATCATGTTCCTGGTGTATTGGCTCTCTGTCTGGGAGGCTGCTTTCCTCGGCGTGGGCTCGTGCTGCTTGATGGAGGCAGGAACAGCATTGGGGCTTTGCCATTCTCAGGTTTGTCCATGAGGAGAGGCTTTGACGTGGCTTTTCCTCTGCCACTGGTATGGCAGTAGGAACATGGTGGGGCAGTGCTTTGTTGATCTGTCTTGGGCAAAACTATCCAAACCTCAGGTGGATCTGCAGTGGGTCCATGATATCCCAGGGAACGTGAGCTGAGGGGTTGGCCACCAGCCTGGACCATGTCTGTGTTAGTTGACAGTAGAGGCTGGCTTGGTGGTTCATGGAAATGGAGCCTGCAAGTCCTTGCAGTTGACACTGGATGGTGGTGTATCTCTTACAAGCTATTTCTGTTGGTATTCTGTGAGCTTTTTAAGAGAAACGTGAAATATTGATGAAGGTTGGCAGTGGGGAAGCCAGTCAAGCATTACAGTCTTGAGAGACATCAGCATATGAATGAAACTCACCTTTGTAATCTCAGGCTGTTTACTTGGCTCGGTTACTCACCATGAAATTGCAAACACCAGGCAAGGACAAGGCTAAGAGCCTGGTGTGCTCTGACCACAGTTTTCTTGGCCAGTGTGCTCTGAAGTCAGGTGAGATGTAATTTCTTATTTGGTGGTGGCTGGTGAGGTCAGGAGCTTTCCAGATCTGCCTGTGGAAGGTTGGTGCATGCTGGAGGTCCCTGCCTGTCCCTTCTGTCTTGCTGCGGTGGTTCAACCGTGAAAGAGGTTCATCCCTCCCCAGGGAAACCTAGGAAACCTGCAGTGGTGATGGCTGAAGATATGGGAGAGAAGTGTGTATGTGCTCACTTGAAATCCAGTCATAGTGAGAGCCATCTGGAGAAGGCGCCTGTTGTTTCTGCTAGTTCCCTGAGCAGGTGCAGAGGAGGAAATCCTGGGGAACTGAAAAGGCTGAAACCACTGGGATTTTGAGAAACCTTAAGGTAATTTTATAGCAATTCCTCCAGAAAGCCACATTAGGGATGTGTAGCCGTGGGCAGTAAGAAGGGCTGTGGCTGCCTTCAGCTGAACGGTGAACAGGGTCAGCATGCACATTTCGAGGTCTCTTTAAGATAAAAGGATGTGGATCATCATGTCTGTTGAACAGCTTCTTCACAGGACTTTTCCTGGCTTGAGATGTGGTTGGTCCTTCCCTAATCTGCCCCGTGCACTCCATGCGCACTGCTGGGATGCAGGTCTCTGGCAAGGGGAGAGCCTCCTAAGGGCAAGGTGGGGCTGAGGGCCAGCAAGGTGCTGCTCGGTGAAGTGTCCAGGCCCTTCCTTGCCAGGCATCTCATGCCACGGCCCATGGGCTCCTTTCAGAACTGCCTCATTCGAGTGACGCCGCGAGGCCGCGAGGCGCTGGTGACTGACTTCGGGCTGGCCAGGGAGGTGGTGGAGCTGCCTGTGAAGGAAGCAGAGAGGAAGCTGTCTCTGGTGGGCTCTGCTTTCTGGATGGCTCCTGAGATGCTGCGGGGAGAGCCCTATGACCGGAAGGTATGGCACTGTTTCCCAGCTCCTTGTTCATCCCGAGAGCTCCCAAGCCAGTGTGGGGGATGTCTCCTCTGCTTGCTGGTGATGTGTCCCAATAGCAGAAAAGCCCTTCCCTCCTTCCTTGGGAAACATTGCCCTGCTATGTGGACCTTTGCTCAGTAATGCTTGGCTTAGCAGCTTGGAAGTTCCTTATGTGGTCTTGTTAAGTCAAACTTTCAGGGGAATGGATTACTGCTGTGGACAAACACAATGAAGCCTCCCCGAGGAAGATGCTTGATGAGTTACAGCCCGATGAGCCTGTTGCAGGATCTGTGGGGGGTGCCAGGTAGAATCATAGAATTGTTTAGGTTGGGAAAGACCTTTAAGATCATCAAATCCAATGGTTAACTAGCACTGCCAAGTCCACCACTAAGCCATGCCCCTAAGCACCACATCTACACATTTTTTAAATACCTCCAGGGATGGTGACTCAACCATTTCCCTGGGCAGCCTGGTCCAATGCTTGGCAAGCCTTTTGGTGGAGAAATCTTTCCTAATATCCAATCTAAACCTCCCCTAGCACAACTTGAGGCCATTTCCTCTTGTCCTATCAGTGATTTGTGAGAAGAGACCGACCACCACCTCATGACAACCTCCTTTCAGGTAGTTGTAGAGGAGTGTTAAGGTCTCCTTTCAGCCTGCTTTTCTCCAGGCTAAACAACCCAAGGTCCCTCAGCCAATGATCATAAGACTTGTTCTCTAGACCCTCACCAGCTTTGTTACTCCTCTTTGGACACGTGCCAGCACCTCAATATCTTTCTTCCACTGAGGGGGCCCTGAACACAGTATTCAAGGTGCAGTCTCACCAGTGCCAAGTAGGGATGACAATAATTTCCCCAGTCCTGCTGGCTGCACCATTTCTGATACAAGCCAGGATGCCGCTGGCCTTTTTGGCCACCTGGGCACACTGCTGGCTCCTGTTCAGCCAGCTGTCACCCAGCACCCCCAGGTCCCTCTCTTCTGGGCAGCTTTCCAGCCACTCTTCCCCAAGCCTGTAGCATTGCATGGGTTTGTTGTGACCCAAGTGCAGGACCCGGCACTGAGCCTTGTTGAACCTCATACAACTGGCCTTGGCCCATCGATTCAGGCTGAAAATATCCCTCTGTAGAGCCAAAGCACCAGACACATTGAACAAGAGCATGGGACCAGGCTTCTCGAAAATGAGGCTGTACTCCAAGTGGGGCTGTGATGTTTCCGGGTGGATTCATAAGCCCAGAAGAAGTTTAGGGGTTTGCTGCCTCCATGTCCAATGAGTTTTTTTGATGGGCTTTTGTGTAACTAATGGAAGGACGTTGTTGTTGGTACTCCCCTTTCTCATGCTTTGCTTCTGTGTATGCCCTGTCCCACCTCTGGTTCTCCCACCTCTTCTGCAGGTGGATGTGTTTTCCTTTGGCATTGTCCTCTGTGAAATCCTGGGCAGGATCCCAGCTGACCCCGAAGTGCTTCCCAGGACACAGGTAATGATTCCTGCCGCCAAACCTAACTGTTTTCCCCATGATACCAGACTGTGTTTTCTCACTGGACCAGACAGACCTGTGCACATGTGTATGTGTTCACACTCAGGTTTCTCTCTAGACATTTTTCCATGAGAAAATCCGTTCTCAACATTTTCAGTGCACAAGTTCGGTGCATGTGTAGTTTCAAAACTTTTGTTAGATCAACAATATGAGATTAATTACTTCTGTTTAAAGACCTTAATTCCTTAAGACCTTGACATTTCAGCTTCTCCATTGAAGTGGCAGGTTAAAAACAACTTTTATCACAAATGTTTATTTTCAAATATGTTGCAGATAATACACAGTTCATGTGGAAACAGTGAGCTTCCCTGAAAATATGCCCTTTTTTTTGTTTCAGCATTTGAAATATTTCCCTTCCAGAAAGTGGGAAAGGAAAGCTTATCCTGAACAGGGATGAAAAATCCATTGGGAAAACAGCAAACAGCTGCTTTTTTTTTTTTTTTTATTATTCCGTGTTTCTGTCAGACTGAACAGGAACTAACGCTCCATCTGTATTCACAAGATGAAGGAGAGTTATATATCAGAGACTCCAAAATCTGGAGGGAGAAAGCTGTAGTTATGGAAACAGCTGGCTGGACCCCTTTGACTTTCAGTTGGTGTTGGAAGACCAGAATATCTGAAGTTCCTGTCCTTGGCAGCCACTGCTCAGCACCAGGTGCTGGTTCCTCTCCTGGTTTTGCCGCTGTGGCTCTTGCTGCCTTAGTCTGAGCTTTTCCAGGAGGACACATACAGCCCCGCAGGGATAGCACAGAGCGAGCAGAAGGATGCTGCAGTCTCCCAGCTCTGCTAGTGATTTATCTGTGCAGTCCTGCCAGAGCTGATGTTGCCCCAGTACCTTTGCATAGCCATCAGTAAAGCAGTTGTGATGGAGACCCTGAAAGCTTTAAACCATGAGCATTTTGTGTTTTAACACCTTGAGAAGGATGAAGAAGAGCTTCTAAAGGACTTTATAGCTGAGGTCTTTTCTACATACTTTTTCCCCTTCCTCACAGGATTACGGCTTGGATGTTGCTGCCTTCCAAGGGATGATCAGCGATTGCCCCAGGCGACTGATGGACCTTGCTGCTAGCTGCTGTCGGGTGAGATTCTTGCTAGGGTTGTTTTTTTTTTCTTTCCTTTTGTTGGATTTGTATCACACTTGTATGACAGAGACTAAAATTGTTGCGAACCCCAGAGAGCTCAAACTTGCTGCTCTCAGAGATAGCACACAGGGCTTTGCCACTTGAGCTGTGAAGTGATGAGATCTTCTTTAGCCAGCAGTATGCTTTCATCCACTGTGTAGTTTTGCCCCTAGGAGAAGTGTCTAGTTTGTGTATTTCAGCCTGAAGCATCCCAAGGTCCTTCTTGTTCCCTTGCATGTCGACCCCAGAGTGGGAAGTAGGTTGGTGATGATGTCCAGTCCCTCCTTTTAAGCCAGGCTGCAGGCAGAGGCACCCAGCTAAATCCTCTCGGGAGGGCACCACCTCGCTGTTACCAGCCCTGGTGTTACAGATATCATCAGAGCATAGCTCTCCAACCTTTCTTGCTTTAACATGAAAGGTAATGGTGAAAGCTGGGGGGCCTCTCCGTGCTGCCCAAAGCCTCAGGAGGCAAAGCAGAGAGAAAGCAAGGATTCAAGTTAATCTCTGAAAGCAAGAGAAAAGCAAAGACAGTAATCAGGCAGAGAGCGGAGAAGCTGGGTGATCATAATGCACTTAATTGCTGGGAGCTCAAGGCAGCAAATGGAAGTAAATCCTTGCATGGGTCCTGAGGATGTGTGAGTAACTTGTCCTGAATCAGAGGAGTGATTCATGTCAGCAGCTGCCTTAGACTGATGTGTGCTCAGATCTTGTATGTCTGATGGGCAGCTTCCTAATGCAAGTTGATATAATAACAGGCTTCTGCCAGAAATGGCCCTTGGGGCTGTTCTCTGCCCTTGTGTGATGTGCAGCTTTGGGGAGTTTCTGGTGCAGGTCCCGAGGCTGGCTCCGTGGGGTCACCACAAAGGGCAGCCCCAGGATGGCATGGTGGGGATGTGGGATGCGGGTGCCCCCATGCCTTGTCCCTCGCCTTGGGTACACCCTGATGG